TGCAACTAAAAAAATTATATTCCCAGATTAATTTACACTGTAAAAATGGTCCTAAAAGAAACGACACACTGTATTATTTATATATTTTTTTTCTGCTTTTTTTAAATTACATACAAATTTCTGTAAAAACACATTGATTATTTGTAATTAAATATGTAGCACATTATTTAAATATTTATGTCCATACCAACAATTTAATGTTTTCTCTTTGTTCTTATTATAAATAAATATAAATATAAAATCTTTAGTTTTATATTTTGTATAATTTTACATTCAAACTCTGTAATTTTGGATACAAATTTAGCAGACTTTTTTCATTACATCAAACATAATGCATAGTCTTTTTTAAAAAGAGTACATAGCTTCACTGCTCTCAATGTTGCAACCTTCAGGCACGTTTGTGGCTCTGGCCACACCCAGTCAGTGATGTAACGGCGAGTTTAAGCACATACATGCCAATGAATCTGACAATGGTAAAATGAGTCAGGAAAACAAGGCATTTCAATAGTCCAGGCAGGAAGTAGTAGAAGCAAGAATGATGAGTTTTAAGTCCTTTAGAGCAGCAACATGATTAAAAGTTTCAACCTCAAAAGAGCAGTGAAGCAGGAAGTTATCACTATATGTGATTTAGTGTGAACTTATTATCAGTTCCTGCTTGGTGATGGTAAAACATGATCACCAGTGAGCACATTGCTGAAAAAGCAATGATCACTGCACAACAATACACTGAAAGTAGGTTAATATTCATACATTCATAAATATGTTTAAAATTATTTCTATTTATTGTGTTCCATTAAACTGGAATAGGCTTTTATCTACTGTTAAGAAAACCGACAATGACAATGCTATGATTTCCACATTCTGGAAATTGTGAGTAAAAACATTATTGATATTTTTTGCTATTTTGCTTAAAATGAAGTTAAGTCAAGTCAACTTTAACTTATATAGCGCTTTAAGCACAACAAAGCTGATCCACAGTGTTTTACAGAGAAAATGGTGAACAGAGATGAGAAAAACATACATCCTTACACACTCAGACTCCCACAATGCACTCACCACATTCAAAAACACACTCATATGGCAAATAACCAGCTAAAAGTGTTTGTTATGTTGTCTGATCAGTATTATGTACATAGAAATCGGATGGTCATATCAATGCGTTGAGGAAGAATGCATGAGAGAAAATTACGCACAGGAAAAGGTTTGAGAGGACTGGAATGTATCCCAGCATGCAAAGTGTGGAAAGAAGGGAAGCAGTCTGTCACAGAGCTAATGCACACACACACACACACACACACACACACACACACACACACACACACACATTTAAACCTATGGGCAATTTAGAATACTCAATTCATCAAATGTGAATGTCTTTGTACTATGAAAACCAGAGTCCCCAGAAGAAACATGCAAGCAACACCCAGAAGGTACCAGGTTCAAAGCGAAACCCAGGTCCTTCTTGCTGTGAGGTGACGGTGCTGACCACTGAACCATCAGGCCACAGCATGCACTAATACATGTGCCACTCAAGTACCACATTATTACAGTGTTGAAATAAATGATGATGCATGCATTATCACACTGCACAATTGTTGTTGAATTGACCTTCAACCAGTCTTCTTGGCGTAACATTAATATGTCTTAGGGCCAGTCCACCCACTGACATCAATAACTAAAATACAGTCACTAAATGAGAAGGGAGACCAATGGCCTGACCACTGCAGTCGACGCCCTGGACCTGGCCGGCCCATATTTATCTGTGCTTGTGCTGAGGCTAACGTATAATAAACAATATGTAATAATAATAATGATAATCTGTCTTCTACTAAACTGCATATATATATATATATATATATATATACACACACACACACATATATACACACACACATATACACACACACACACAAATATATCTCCAAAATGGTATCTTTACAAGAGAAAGAGAAAAGCTACTTTACTTTCAATGTAAGTCAGTGGAACCAGAATTTTTTCCAAGTCATTTTGGGCCGTTTCTTTTGGTCCATGCTTCATCAATGTAAATATAATTTTATATCTGGATCATTTTGTTCACTTTGTATACTATTATATACTATTTTTTATCCATAAGCTGCAATGAAAACATTATTTCCCCAATTAATTAAATATAACAGTCTACAAATTAAATAAACAGTTATTTTTTCTCTATTTTCAAGTCATCTTTCCCTACCGTTGCTATGCTACCACGCTGTGGTATTGCTGTTTGCTGTCTCACCCTGTTGCTTTGAGTATGATTGGTTAATCTGACTGTCATCCAGAAAACTGGCCAATCACAGCTGAGCATGCCTTTCCAGTCAAATTTGAAAATCCATCCGTTAGAGGTGAGCAACTGCTGCTTCTGCCACTCGGTCGGTCCACTATCAGTGGCTGTTACCTGGATTATTTTACATCTGCCGGTCCCTTTATTTTGGGCGAATTTGAGCTTTGGGATGTCAACCGAGAACCGAAACTGGAACATGGACAGAGAAGAAGGTCAGACGGGATCTGTTTGGCAAGATCAGGTAAGAAAACATTCTCCCTGTTATTCTCCGTAACAGCTGAACGCAGCTAACGTTAGCTGTGTTTTGTGTTTATGTTCGTCATTTATGCAGCCCAGCCTAAAAGTGAAGTTAGCCGGACAGCAGCAGCAGCTATGGCCTCTGTGTGGCTATGCCGTCTGTATGACATGAGCAATATGGTGAAAATTATCTTAACATCTACACTAACAGCCGAGGTCAGTGTTCGACGCTTGTAACAGCTCATCTGTCCGCGTAACCCCTATGTGAATCACGAACGAGTATGATTTTCATCGCCCTCAGTGAGCTTAACTCGTGGTCTCTTCGCATCTTCTGGTATAGACAAAGTTTTTGTTTGGTTCTCATCTGTTCCGTGTTTATGTTGAGCACAGTGTGAAAGCCGTATTCTGTTAATATGAGTCCTGAACCAAACAGCGCCGGGTCACTGGCTCTCGGCTAATTAAGGTAGCTGTGTAGTGCTGGATTTCTCAGAAGCAGATCCTCAAACGTGTTTCACGAACAACTACGGATCGTTAAACTAACGGAACATCCATCCCAAAACCACCGCAGCTCGGTCGGACCACAGCAGTCTGAAACACGCTAACGTTACTCGTTTGAACCACCGCAATTTATAACGGAATTTACAGTGGATAAACCCCTAAAACGCAGACGAACAGTAGAGTAACTTCTGCAGATAAAGTTGAACTATATCTCATAACGAGCATGAAAACTAAGCTTTTATGAAACCAATGGAAAGTAAAATGGACTAAAACACACACGTCTAGGCCACAGCATGGAGGCTGGTATACATCTGTTTAATTTCAATAAATTTAAATAGTCTACAAAAAGATTTGCTACATCTTAAAAATATTGCCCTGAGTTTGAATAATTCTGTTTCTATTCTATTAAGAAATAAGGTTTTACATCCAGATGTGTGAAGAGAGCACACAGTCACTTTAGCTCAATGTTTTAACTCACGACATTGTGTTTGCTGTGGAAAAGAGGTAGTTCCTGGTTTAAATCTGACCTCTAGCTCTTTTGTATTTAGGGAGTCACTCACCAGAACCATAACACTATATACACTAAGTTCATAAGATGTTTTTATAAATACGTATCAGATATAAGTGCAGTATATTCTTCGTATTTACATGTGTAAGGCAGCACACTAGATAATTTGACCACAACTTAATTATCTCGTTCCTATGCATTAATTTTATCTTGATTTTTTTTTTTTTTTTGATGACAATGACATCATGAGGGACTGCATCCTAAAAAGCCTGGTCATCTATTTGAACAAAGACCAGAGTCTTTCTCAAGCAATATTTGGTATTTTGTTTTTTATAATACAATTTGCATGTACAGTGTATAACTAGATATTCAGGATATCTCAAGATACCAGTGAAAATTACACCATGTGTTATTCACAAATTAGTGGTAAAATTGCTGCGTGTCATGTAACTGGAGAGAATAATCATTTGCCAAAATATGCACTTTCACTAAATCTGTGCAATAACAGTGAAAGCAATAGTTTTATAAGGGTAGTGTGGTACAAACTTTAGAACTGACAGAATAATTTTATGATTCCAGTCTAATGATTCAGCACATATACACAGATATAACTGCCATGATTAGATATAACCAAGATGACTCTTTGATCTATTGACTTGATTAGACTCTGAACACTGCAGGTAGAATGCATATTGCTGATGCTGAAATAGCATCTCAAAGTTCATCTTTGAAAGAAAACCGATGTCTAGAACCATAAATATGTAGCTTACTGAAGCTCTGTGGGTTTTCAGAGGGACACAGACAAAGTTAACATGCCAGGACTTCATGAAAGTGTGCTTTAAGAACGACTGAAGGAATGGCTGCATGTTCACCTTATCTAAGTCCCATAGGAATTAGAGATGCTACTTCAACATCAGCAGTATGCATTCTACCTGTAGTTGATTTAGAATTTAAATCTAAATAAAGATGGATCATTTTAGGATCATTTTTGGCAATTACATAAGTGAATTAGCACTTAAATATTCCTAATATTATTGGTACAAAATTAACAGCAGCTAACATTTGATTTTGATTGAATTTCAGCTGATGATGCTGAATAGCTAAGCTACAGCCTTGAAAATGCAGACTTCTGCTTGTCCACTCGTCTGACCTGTCAGTGATTGTGTGTTTGTATTTATGTTCAGGTCTGTCATTGGTGATGCAGAGAAGGACATGTGAGTGCACAATGGGGATTTACACAATTTGAGGAGACAGCAATGAGGATGATGCTGCGCTATGGGACACTGCCATTGTGGTAAGATGTCAACAATCTTGGAAATGCATTCATCATGGTATTTGGGCTCCTTATGCCCTTTTCAGCTTTCTGACAACTTAAAATACACATTTAAGTTTGTTCAGAAGATCTTGATGAATTTGGATAGACATAAGCTAAACAGAAATATTCAAGAATAAGACGATCTTATGTGGTGAAAAGTAAGTTTGTTTGGATGGTCCGGCATTACAGCTCAGGTTAAATGTTTACCAGATAAACTGCATTGAGTCTTTGAGGTTTTTTTTTTGAAATTGTAGTTGTCCTCATGCTGATATTTGAAATGGCATTTTAAAGGAGTTGGTTTTGCACTGTAAATTCTTTACTGCACTTAGGGTGGGATGTTAGTGTTAAGATATTAAACAACTCAACGTGACTGAGGTAGGACAGCACCACCATATTTATATTGCCTAATTTTTCTGTGTCATGCAGGGCTGAGAGCACTTTGTTTTGGATTTGAGCTAATGGTGTAGCTAAGCTACAGTTGCTCAAGTTGTGATTTCTGGGCCATTATGTCTTATCTACTTCTAAAGTGCTTTATTTGGTAGGGGCACAAATTTTGCCCATTTTTTTAACTGAATGTTGCTTGAATGTTATTGTTGATGTCAATAAATGTGCCTGAAGCTGATTTTCTCACTTGTGTCTATAAAAAAGTAGAATGAAGGAATTTAGTAGACATGATAAATTATGTCTGTGTCCAGTCTTTGCAAAATGGCAAGTGTGGCCAAAAAGCTGTAAAATAAGTGTTTCTCAGCAGAACTTTGTGTTATTATTTTTTAAAGGTGTTTGTAATTATTCAGAAAAAGTCTGTAAAATGACAGTGTTTGTCTGCAGAACTTTTAGTGACCTTTACTTTATGGAGGTGTTTGATCGCAGTATTTTAAAAATCATCTGTAAAGTAACAGTTGTTTTTGTGCAGAACTATTTGAGCTATCACTATATTGAGGGTTTTGATCACAATATTTTTCTGTAAAGTAACAGTTTTATCTGCATTAATTTAATGAAACACTTTAATGAAGATGTTTGATTGCAATAATTTAGGGAAAAAATTCAAATTAAAAAACAGTTTTTATCTGCAGAACATTTTGTGCTATCACTTTATTGAAGGATGTTGATCATAAATTTTTAGTAAAAATCTGTAAAATAAGTTTTATCTGCAGAAACTTTTGTGCTCTCTTTTTATTCAAGGTTTCATAATGATTTAGGAAAAATCTGTAAAATAATGTTTTTTGTCAGCAGAATGTTCTGTGCTATCATTTTATTGAAGGTGCTCGATCATAAAATTTTAGTAAAAATCTATAAAATAAGATTTTTTTCAGCGAAACCTTTATTAAAAATTTCTGCTGCTGCCAGCCATTTGACCGTTTTTTTCCGATTTTTTTTTACCAGTGGTCATGCAATGCATGTCTTTACTTTCATGATTTTGTCCTTTAGTTCCCGCTATTTTTCACAGCAGATGATGGCTTTGCAACTAAAAAAAAAGTAATATTCACAGATTCATTTAGGTGTGGTAGTGCAATGTATATGTGTTGGATTTCATGTGGTTGTGCTTTATGTCCTGCTGTTTTTCACAGAGGTTAAACGCTTTGAAACTGAAAAATGATTTTCACAGTTTAATTTAGCTACGTTACTGCAAGTTACATGACTTGACGTTCATGTGGTTATAATTTATTTCCGCAATGTTCCACAGACGTTAATCGCTTTGCAAAAGGCATTATCGCTTTGTGTGGGTGGGGGGTGGTGCCTCCTCCCAGTAAGGGTTCTCTTTAACACTTTATCTAGGAAGATCGAGTAAGTGACAGGATCTGTGTCCCCACCCCCCATACTTTCAGTCTCAATACTCACCTGTGTAGTATGTTGGTACCTATCTTGCTGCAAGGGATGATCAGTGTGTATGTATGCAAAAGATAAGGCAAGGTGGGCTTCAGGAATTATCTGAATCACGGCAGCAACCTGAAGTGTAAAATGTAAGATAGACATATATTAGTCAGCCCTAGCATTAGACTCGCCCTCCCCAGATCTAACAAGACAGGTGAGACGCCCCTACTCCTAGATAAATGTAGAATTAGAGATAGACAGCAATTGCCAAAAAAGGAACATTCATTAAAAAAAAAAACGAATTATAAGTGCTTGTTCTCTTAGTTTCAGCTCACTTTTCGTTTTGGAAAAAAAAATAAAATAAAACTGTGCAATCAACACCAAAATACCAGGTAACAAGCAGCAACGGCCATATAGAACTTGTGGATTCAGTCTGTTATGCAGTAGTATCCTTTTCCTCTTTTCTAAATGAGACAAAATTCAAACAGCAAACAAAACTGTCAGAATTTACCACAAAGAGTTCACATATCAAAAAAAATAAATAAATAAAAAAAAGAAAAAAACTCTCTTCCACCCTCTTAGACTGTAAAACGGTTTGGATTGAAACAAGGGAATGAACAGTTACTCTTCTTAACAGTTACACAATCAATAAGCAGAAACATTACCCTTTTTATCTCTATGCCACAGGACAAGTGATTCAGCCTCTGATAATAAGTAGAAAATGGAACTCAATTACCAGTCTGAAGCAGAGGGATTGATGCTGGAAGGTGTCTCTGAATGGCAGGGAGATCCTCCTAAACAGAGCTGAAGAGAGTAAGGCGCATCGCATGTCCGCGTTAGGCTCACAGAAAATGGCGCCCGCTGCAACTCGCTCCTCTTTCAGTCCCGAGTAGCCACCCGCGGAATGTCCTCACAGCACTCCGACCTCCTCAGCGCCCCAGAACCACAGTCGAACCCTCTCCAGTGTCCGTACAAAGATTAACAGTCCGTTAGAGCTTAAAATGCCCAAAAAAACCCTCAAAAAAACGCTGAGCTCGGTTTTAAACTCAGAGCGAAACTCGTTGACTTTGCACCGGAATAGCGATATTTTCCATCAGGTATCAGCGCACAGGCTAATGGAGGAACACACACCCGCACTGCTTAATGCTTTAGGCTGGAATCTCTGAATCTACAGTTTCTTCACAAAAAAGTCAAGGAAAAAATGCTTTCCCTGCTTCTCACAGCACAATCAGATGTACTGCACTTCAAACTGACGGCCATGACTGAACACAAGGTTTTCAACAGAAAATATGAGCTTAAAAACACTCAAAAACAGAGCAGCGCTCACGGCCGGCCTCCTTCCCTCGCGCACGGGCTCGCTTAACCCCGCCCACGAAGGCCACTGATAGGCCACTCGCTCCCGGCCATACCATAATATAAAAGATAAGCTTCAAAATAAAACCCATGTATATTTTAGGCTCTCTACATTTGCAACTAAAAAGGCATTCACAGTTTAATTTAGCCGCGTTAGTGCGATGTACACGTCTTGGCTTTCAATTGGTTACACTTTATTTTCCCACCCGCTTCGGATGTTATCACTGCATTGAATGGGCATAATCTGTAGCCAGTAGGCCCATTGACATGGTTCAGTAGGACCTCCTGCGCCTGCTAGAAGGTTCAGAATGTGGTTGTCATCCATTCCTAAAGTTCATCACCCAGACCAATGAGGAGCCGGTGATGTCCACCAATTGCGAGTGACAACAGCCAATGAACCGCGAGGATTTGTGGACACGCTTAATTCCGGCAGTGCCATCTATCAGGTAAGCGGCTTTTCATCATAGCGAACTAAAACAAACATTTGAGCAGGACTGGCGTTGCTGTGATCGCCTTTGAAGCGCGCGGTTCTCGACCAGTTTCGCCCTCAGCGAAAATACAGCACTGGTTTGTTGTTCTGCTTTAATTTGCTTTATCACGGGTCCACGATACAAGCGGGCCGCCGCCTAAGGCCACAGCGTGCTAGCTAGCTAGCTTTCTAGCTAACAGCTAACTTGTTCATGTCGCATCGTAAGCTAAGTAGCTAACGTTAGCTAGCTAGTTAATCTTGTCTGTCAAAACAAGCCGTCAGATTTGAGCAGTTTGAGTTTCAGAAATCCACAGTATGATGTAAAATCTGTCTGTCTCTGAGCGCTTCATGATTTCATAGCCCGGAGATGCGCGGTGAAAAGCTGGATATGAAAACAATCGTGTGGTTTGCCTGTCATTTGAAGGCCCTGCCTTCGCTGTAGCGCTGCACTTTCGCGCTTTTTATTAAATCCGCTGAAAAAACGCGCATCTTGCTGTTCAAATGGCTGCTTTTAAGTCTGATGCGGTTGAAGTGACTTTATCTAGCTACCGCATGCCTCAAAGCTAAGCTAAACTAACGCTAACTAATTGTAACGCGAGCGTTCAGCCGCTTCTTTCGGTCGAACACTGCTAACGCTCGCTAGCTGTGTCGCTAATCCTGCTAACGTCTGTAAAGCTATGCTGCATGTCAAGGCAGCACATCATCGAGATACAGCAGCCCTGCGGTGTACTTACAGAAGATGGTCCACTTTTACTTTACTGAAGTGTTCATCTTAAAATATTGTAGACTTGTTTGAAGTTTTTAGACCTAAGCTTTTAGGTTTTGTAACTAGCATGTCTAATAATGAATTTCTTCTTTTCCAGATAGATGGCTGGCTGGCTGGCTAAGAATGAATGCTATCTCCTCACTCCAACGGCTCTTTTAAGAGCCACTTCTCTTGTTTTTTATCTGTCTGTCCTTCATTTTATTCCCCTCTTTCACTCTGTCTCTCTCTATACCCCCACCCCATTTTCTGTGTTTCAGTTCTTCGTCTGTATGTTGCTCAAGGTCAGTTGTATAAAAATGTCTATAAAAACTAAATGGAAAGAATGTATTGTAGTTTTAGTCACTATACCATTATCAAAGCATGATTTAAACAATTTTCATAAAATCAAATCCAGCTAAGTAGTCAGCAGTTTAGAGTGGCTTTGGGGAATGTAACGTGTTTGCTTTGATGAAACTGAAACAATTAGGGGGATGTCCCTGTTTGTGCAAGGATTTATGCAGTTTATGTTAGTAAACTCTTGGTCTAACCGGCAGTTAGTGTCATGTAGGTAACAAGTACTTTACTGTGATCAGTGCTATGATATTTACTGCTCAGGTTCCAACAGCTAAATGCTTCTGTCAGTAGAGTACAGGTTGTGATGGTGTTGTTGTCTTTCAGGGTTAGTATGGCACAGAGCAAGCAAGGAGGTAATGTTTCTAATGTTAGCCAACTTCCATGTTGAGGTTACTGACATCCTCAGGTTGGATAGTATTGAAGTTTCTTACACAGTTTAATCATTGGAATTTCCAGAGACTGGCAGGCTTATCTTTGTATTGTCGGGTTAGTGTTATTTGCTGGTAAAACAGGCATTACAACCTAATATAAAGAAAATACACAACCCAGTTAACCTCCTTTTTTTCATATTTTACCAAAAGCACAAGATGAGACGATCATTGATATTTGATCTGTTAATTTACATAGTTCAATATGACATGTTCCAGGTTAGATATTGTTTAAACTGCATTCGCTTTCATTCTTTTGGGGAAGCAAATGAAATTATTTTGCTTACCAACAATAGCATGTTGAAGGCTTACTCTTTGTCAGTGTTTTGTGTGTGTTTTGAAGTAGGGTATGTCAATTTGTATGGCTTCTGTAATGACTGTGAACATATTTTTATTTTGTTCATCTTTTCAGAAAGAACAGCCTTGAGTGAAAGCCAGAAGTCGACACTGAAGTCCCTGTTCGATTAGGGTATAGAGTCGGTTCACCCCTCATCAGCACTGCTCTTGCAACAACAGGACTTCAGCAAAATGTTGTTGAGGTAACATTTATTTGTTTTAGTCTTAAGCACTATTTGGATGATGGTAGTTTGGATAAGAACTCTTGGTATAAATGACAGATATGGGAGTGGCTACTAGATTTGTACATTGCAGAGTAGAAAACTTGTAAAAAAAACTTAATTTCGCTGTTATTTTGTGTACACTAACCATCTGCCTTTCTATTAGGGTGCACTGTGTCATTAGCTTGGGAATTCATGACCAGCAGCCAAGATCACTGCATGAAATCAAACTTTTTGTGTATTTTTTTCGTGTAAGTTTAAAGTTCTGAGGTTGAGGTAAGACACTACATATCCGCCACAGAGAACAAAGGTAAACACATCAATCAGTGCCTTCATACTGAAGGAACTCCTATTCCACAGAATAGGATGGCATTTTCGCAGATGTCAGTTTGCACCTTTGCTAATTTCTACTGCATGTTAATTGAAAGTAAAAAAAAAAAACGCTGAAATCTCTACTGATGGCTGAGTGCACAGTCAGTAAAAACAACTGACATGGCACTAAGATGGGACTAAAATCATTAAGAAACACTGTTAAAAATTACATTATCCACTTTTTCATGTAAAACTAATCCTGGTTAAGTGTTTGTGTGTCGAAGGACAGATGAGGGTCTTTCATGACACCAAGACTTTTACATGTGCTTGATGCAACTGAGATTAAGTTTATATGTGAAATTAAACAGTTTGTTTCTAGCTGCTTTTGGACCAAGAAGTAGAACCTCTGTTTTATCCGAGTTAAGTAGGAGAAAGTTACTCAACATCCAGTCTTTTACGTCTTTTATACAGTCCTCAATCTTGCCAAGTTTAATTTTATCATCCAAGAGCTTGGTCATAATATCTAACTCGGCAGGATCAGATGGGCAGCTGACAGAAGCTGATAATTGTGGAAGGTTTCTAATAAAGCTACCAGCTGTAGAGGAAGTTATTGTCTGCTTAACATGATAACATGGTGGTGAATGCATAATACCACTAAAGTGAATTTCATATGAGATTAAGTAATGATCTCAGACTGCTGTGATCTGGGGGAGAATGGCTAAGTTATCTGTGTCTACACCATAGATAAGGTCAGTATTAAGTCTAGAGCGTGGTTGTGGTAGTGAGTGGGCCCCTTTATGATTTGGGTGAAACCTATCGAGTCTATGATAGATATAAATGCCTTACTTAGTGCATCTTGAGGATTGTCAAAGAGGATATTAAAATCTCTGACAACTATCATTTTATTTGAAAGCGTTATTAGACTTGATAGAAACTCAGAATTCCTGTAAGAACTGAGAATACGGCCCTGGCAGCCTGTAAATTGTAATTAGTGAAAAGGAATTTTTATTTGTTCCTTGATCACTTATATTAAGAAAACTTCAAAAGAAGAGAATTTGTATCCTACTTTCTGGCCCACGCCTAAGGCTTTAGTATGGATGGTTGCTATACCTCTACCTCGGCCGCTTAAACGAGGGCTATGTGCATAGTTGTAGCCTGGGGCTGTGGCTTTGTTTAGACTGAAGTATTCATTGGGTCTAGTCCACGTTTCTGTGAGGCACAGAGCATCAAAACCGTGATCGGTAATAATTTCATTTACAATGACGGCTTTAGGAGTAAGGGATCTTATTTTAAGCAGTCCTAGTTTTAGACCAGAGGTGCCGTCACTGCAAATTGGTATAGCTGGTCTGATATTAATCAAGTTACTATAGCAAACATTTCGAGGCTCTTTGACGCTTTGTTTTATTCAGGGAACAGACACAGTCTCTATCAGGAGGAACCAATGTGGCGTCTCAAGGCAGTTTGCGGTATGAGCATTTGTATTTATAGAATAAGTATTTGTATTAGCACTTGCCCTATTTACAGTGTAAATGCTAGCAATCGCCTTATATTCAGCAGTAACACTAGCATTATTAGCTGTTAATTTTTGGCGCTACGTACGTGGCCTTCACTCTGAAGTCAACAGATGGCCCTCTCGATATTCCGTGAGAGAACAATAGATCCCAGACGACTAGGGTGGAGGCCATCCCTCTGGTAGAGCGCTGGCTGTTCTCAAAACGAGGCCCAGTTGTCCACGTAGCCCAAGCCGTTGAGAGCGCACCAGCCACGGAGCCAGGACTGCAGCGCGAAGAGCCTGCTGAAGCGCTCGGATCCCCTCCTGTTTGTGGGAAGTGGTCTGGTGATGACGATCCTGGCGTCTGTCTTCTT